AGATACAGTAGTTCAAATCTCGTTTTGCGTGGGTACACTCAAATATGCTCCCTCGTCAGTGATATATCAAAAATTCTTTTTATCATCATATCTTAGTCGTTTTAGGTCTTTCATTATTAAGTAATATTTTACTCTTAAATAAGATATTTGTTAACTTTTTAATCATAATCATAACCATACTGTAACTATGTACATGAAGTGTATTGGAATACGCTGCTTCACTGAGTATCATTGATGTACTGTTAGTACAAAATCATTAGCAATTTCAAAAACGACATAAATATGTATTACGCCTAAATGAACTTTTTAATTGGTCTAAGAGCATTTTTATACCTTTTTAAGTATTTTTCATCAAGGATCATGTGCAAACGCGATTATTACAATAATAACGCGCTTAAAAAATTTTCAAGGACGTTTCGAGATTATATTCGAACAATTTACTTGTTTATGAGCGTTAATAGAAACCAGTATTCGTTAAGTATTATTTTGTCAATGCAAATAAGGAAAAAATCTCGGTTATCGAATAAAAAAACTAGTTCAACTAATAATACGACATCTTTCAAGTATAAAGGTTTTCATACTAAAAGAATAATTCAGTCGTTAGAAAGTAATTTCTTACGAACTTTTTGTTTAAGAATATGAAGACGTCTTAATTATACAATTCAACATGAATATTGTTATTGATCGATAGAAAACTTATGATATGTAATGAAGTATTCCAATCCCGAATGTCATTTTATAGATGACATTATGAGATCAAGTTTTTTTGCAAACTACTGTGTATGTATATTTTTTGTAAAGCGCTTTGAGTGGTACATCTTTTGAAAATAGATTAACGTACTATCATTTTCGTAAGTAAAAATATCAAAAATAGCAGTATAATCGATTATTTTTCATTGAGATCTAAACAAATTTTATTAACCTTGCAAAATCTGATAAAATACAAGTTTTCTGAACATTCTATATTCGACTTATACTAAACAAACATATAATAAAATAAAATTAATGTTATATAGTTGTACTATATGACTCAAAACAAAAAAGTGATACGAGATTTTTTATGTTTTGATTACATTCAACTATGCTTTGTAAAATATTTACATATTACTACTAATAAAAAACAACTAAAAGATTTAATAGATAAGTATTAATTTACCAAGTACATGACAAATATCAGTTTTCTAAACATATGGCAAGAACAATTGTTTGGTTTGTTTTTTACAGATTATCTATCACAAGTTGCAGGCTTATATCTGATCAATACATGAAATAAACAAACATCAGATGTTTTTATAATTATCCAATAATATTGCAATTCTGGATTGGAAATATCAATGAGAGAATTCAATTGATAATCAGATATTAACATGATTTTTTATTCTTTACAGTCATTCGCCATTTGACAGGTCACGTCGCAATATAGAATAACTAGAGATCAGAAAAAAATTCCTGTTTTTTTTTGTATATTGCTAGTTTTCTATTGCAAATAGTATACACAATCTCAGTAATTTCCACATTATTTCGAAGAAAATTTTTATTGAAGACATTGAACATCACATCATTTTAATATATAATTGTATATGTTTATCAATATAATTAATACATTATAAAAAAAAATGTTCAATTATGTCAGAATTATTCATTGTACTTGTCAATCATTATTCTATGCATTTAATACTCATCTATAATCATGTAATCGTAACTCTCAAGAGACTTGTTTCTTATGTATTTTATTTTGTTTTTTCTTATAGAGATCTTTTTTATTTTTTAAGATAAAAACTAACTTCTTAATTAAACAAAAAAAAATGAATGAAATATTTACTTAAAACTATTTAATATCTCTTTTTTTCTTAAAAATCATTGAATAATACATTTGTATGTTGAATAAAAATATTCTTTAGAGATTCTTCATTTCTTTCATACGCAAAGTTAGTTATGATTACATGACTTGTTAACTGACCGACACTTGCTTATCTGTCCTTTTCTCTTTTATCCTTGTCGAAAGAGAGAAAAGAAAGAACTTATATAATATATTATATAAATAATGTTCTTTTTTTTACACCAGAGTTTATTTTTCTTCTTTGATTAAATGTTATAATGTTCTTTTACTAACAATAACAAAAACAATAAGTAAGTTGATTTTGAATGATTTTTCATATCTAATTTGTAATCTTGTTGATATTAATTTAATCTACTGAAACACGATTTTTCGAACTTACATTCCATTATCGTTGGAAGTGCACTAGCGAAGAAAAGATTGATGAGATAGTATGAGGATGCCCAAATATATATAAATATACACAAAAGATAAAAAGAAGAGCATTACAGTATAGTCAATCGTTCTTTTATTCTTTAATTAGAAAAAAATCAGTTCAATCGTTATATGACAAAAACAAATATCAATTGGGATGATGATGATTATGTCACAAAAGAAATATCCATGTGCAAGATGAAAAAAAAAACGAAGCGATTACTAATGGTGTAGGCTGTAAATAGAATATGTATCTATTTACTTTTGACTTATGACAAACGACTATGCAACAACTTTCATGTAGTATCGAGTCTAGAACGAGAAAATAGAAAAAGAGAAAAAGGAGAAAGAGGAAAAAGGATAATACAAGATACAAAAAGAAAAAAAGGTACTGTCTCATATTCCTCTTGTGTACTATCAAACACACATCGATGGCGTTTTATGTTATGATAAGAAAATTTTTAGGGTACTTTTAATAAACTAATCATTTTTATATCATTCATGAAAGGCAAAAAAAAAGAAGAAGAAATCTATACTCCATAATTTTCTATATACGATATGATTAATATCGTTACGAAGGCGATATTTAGAATGACGTTTATACTATTTACTATCCTATAGAATGACATGTTCTGTTCTATATCTAATAAAAAAATTCATTAGTATATGTTCGAAGGAAAAATTCTATTTGTAGTATTAAATAATTTATTATAATAATCTTTTTTTGTTATATTTTAGTTAATCATATTCAATTGTCATTTATTCTTATAAAATATTTACAAAAAAAAATCAACTACTATGTTTGCTCGCCGTAATTTACGTCGTAATCTTATGATTGGTATTTGTTTACCTATCATTTTATTAAGTTTATTTGTTATTCATCAAAATCGTGATATTGTATTTACTGAACAGTTATCACATCAACAACATTCTCATTTCTTACAAAATATCGATAATGTACATCCGTCTCGATCAAAACGTTATACAAGTCAGAGTCAACCATTAGATATTCATACTGATAAACAATTACAAAATGGAAATGCTATGGCTAATCTAATGGCTTATCAAGCTCCAATTGTAAATTTCTATAATAATCAAAGACATTTACAAGAATATAATCCTATTCAACCAATTAGACATCCTGTTATTGATGCAAAAAATCTTGAACGTTTTGTTCATTTAGATTTAAAAGGTGCTGCACCAAAAATAGATTATTTTACAGATTTATTTCCATTTCTAAGACAACTTGGTGCTACGGGTTTATTAATTGAATATGAAGATATGTTTCCATATAGTGATTATTTATCTATAATACGACATGGTCTTGCTTATTCAAAAAATGATATTCAACAAATATTAGAATTAGCAAGAATAAATAATTTAAAAGTAATGCCATTATTACAAGTTTATGGTCATCTAGAATATGTACTTAAACTAAAAGAATTTATGCATTTACGCGAAGATAGACGATATCCACAAGTTATTACACCATGTCTCGAAGAAAGTTATAAATTAATATTTGGTATGTTATGATATATATGTATTTAAAAATAAAATTCATTATTTTGAGTTAAGAAATAGATCAGATACTGATTTATAGTAGTTTCCTCTTTTTTGTATATGTACAAACAGAATATTCCATATTAATAGTCTGTATGTTGTAATAATGATATACATATGATTTTATCATTTATTATATGTCGGAAATATTTAATAATTTATTGTAGAAATGATTGATCAAATGTTATCTCTACATCCATCTATTCCATATCTTCATATGGGTTGTGATGAAGTTTATTATCGTCTAATTCATCCTCAATGTGTTAATCTACACTTTCGTGATGAAGCCGATCTTTTTATCAGGTATAATATTATTTTAAATGATAAATTAGCTATTACTCAATTTCTATTCTTAGCTAAAATTATGTTTTTTAATCTTTAGACATGTGACTCGTGTTGCTAAATATATTAAATCAAAACATCCAAATATTAAACTATTTATATGGCATGATATGCTCTCACAAATAGTTAACTCAGGTTATAATAATGTGAGTTATGACATTATATACTTAATATAAATAAAACATATAAGTTTTGTTTGGTTTATTAGATTACAGAATTAGTTGAACTTGTCGTGCCGATGGTATGGACATATGTTGATGATGTTAAAACTTGGTTCGATGATAGATTTTGGATGGGGTAGATAGAATCTTTCAAATGTTAATTGATTAGAATTGATAAAAAATAAATTTTCATAATAGATTTTCAATGTTTCATGAAGTTTGGGTAGCCAGTTCATTTAAAGGTTCATCTGGTGAAATAACAACAATGAGTTATATTGGTCATCATCAACGTAATCAACAAACTTGGCTTGAGGCTATGTATACTGCATCATTTCGACATCGAGTTAATTTCACCGGTATTGCTGTTACTGGTTGGTCTCGATATGATCATATGCTTTCATTATGTGAACTTCTACCATCATCTATACCATCACTTACATATGCATTACAAACAATTGTGTATGGTCATATAAATAATACACAAAATGTAACTATTTCAAGATCATTATTAGGATGTGATCGAACACCATTATGGGAAAAATCAGCAGATATTAATTTTATATCTTGTTCATTTCCAGGTAAATAGTTCTATTTATAAAAGAATATAAATTCTATCAATACGTATTATTTAGGTCATGAAATGTATGAAATGATGTATCAATATGATGGACTTACACATGTATATGATGAAACAATGTCATTTGTACGTTTATATGTAACAGATATTCATCTTCGTCAAAATTATATACATTATAAACGTAGTCAAGAATGTTTACAACGATTATATTCTTTAGAAGATCAAATGATTTATTTTATTGATTCATTTCAACGTATTTGTTTAAAATTTTTTACGCCTGATATTGGTCCAGAATGGTTACAAACATATTTTATGAGAAAATTAAAAGAAGTACAAAATCGTGTAAATTTTATTGAACGTACATTAAAAACACAAACATCATGGTTACAACGTCCATTACCAAATAATACGGCACCTATTGCAATTAAACGAAGAAATTTTACAATTAGTAGTTTATTATAAATATTTGAAAATTTTCTTGTTTTTTTTGTAAGTGAGAAACTGAAGACTTGTACTCTAGTCACTTTTTGTGAAATAGAACTTTGTTTTTATATGAATTGTAGATCATTCTAATTGTTTTATGGTTTAATTGTTGAATAAATATTGATTGAATATAGTGAATATCACTTTATTATATACTAATTGAATTATAAAAATTTCTCACAGGAATAAAACAAAAATCTAATTTAAAAGTTAAACATTAGTCTTTTGATTTTCATTGTTAGTCATTGCTTTTTCTTTTTCTCGTTGCTTTTTATTCATTGAATGATTATCTATTGAAAGTATAATTGCTGCAAGAGCAATAAATGATGCACCTACATAAAACATCCAAGATTTTGTTAATCGAAGAAATATATATTGTAATATACAAGCATAAAGTATATCAAGTGCACCAATTATTGATAATAATTGAACATTTTCTCTTTTTAATGCTTTAGCATAAAATGTATTTGTTATTAATTGTAAACAACCAATAAGAATACCAACTGTAAACATCCATTTCCATGGATAGGGTTCTGGTAACCATAATCGTCGAATAAGACTATATAGTATTGATATAATTAAAGCAAACGCTGTAAATTGAAAATTCATAACAGAATATGGTTGTTTAGTTTTAACTAATTGTTTTCGTGCAATCATTTGTATTGCTTTTGTTAATGATGATATAAACGCTAAAAAAACGCCAAGATAATAAAGTGTTGATACTTTAGCTGCAGATATAATAACCGAAGCTGTAGCCATCGTCGTTGTTGTTGTTGTTGTTATTGTTGCATTTGAGTTTGATACATCAAATAGATGACTTAATGTTTTAATAAAAAAATGAGGTTTTGTAGCAAGTATTAATCCAGCAACAGTTAATGTTAATGAAATACCATTTACAAATTTAAAACGATCTTTAAGAAATATAACAGATAAAATTGCTGCCCAAACAATATAGGTATATTTAATAGTATTTAAATCAGATAATGGAAGAAAATAGAATGCAGCTAAATAACTTAAATTTGTTGCACTTGACATTAATACATTTAATGCACTAGCAATAGGTTGACCATTTGTATCAAAAAGATTATAATGTTTATAAAATGCAGCATATGAACCAAATACAATTGCTTGTACTGAAAATCGAATAATCATTATATCAAACATATCAGCTGGAATTAGTTTTAATATAAATGTACCACAACAAAATATAATATTTGCTGTTAACATATACCATATTCCTGAATGTGCATGTAATCGTTGATATATTCTTTTTAAAAAAGATGCTGGAGTTTTTTCAGCTACATCAGCTGATATTGTATGTAGTGGTATTTGTTGTTGTTGTTCTTCTTCAGTCTATGATGACGAACATATTTCAAAATCTTTATATTAAAAAGATTTGAACTTACCATGATTTCATCAGAAAATAAATATGATGCAGAACTATTAGTACATACATGTATATATATACATCATATAAAAAATCGAAGTAACGCCCTTTACATTGCGTGTTTGTTCTTCTATAGAAGGCTAAAAAATATTATTCACATGACGATGGCGCATGGTGAGAAAAAAAGAACATAACAGAACAGAATAGAATGCATCGTCTTCTGCAATATATTTTTTTTCCTCATCGACAGGGGTAGAATCAGTACAAGTTATGGTTTCTTTATCTTTCAATCATAGTAATTTATAGTGCTTTACCTTTTTGCACTTTATGTTAAAGAAAAAACATCTGGTAAAATTCACGTAGTTTGAATTTTTTTTTTCAATGCGTAATTTTTTAGTTTATAAAGTAAAAAAAAGAACCAGCATGTTGTAAAAATAAAAATGATGCAATTGACGTATGCAATTGATAACTTATCGAAAAGCATTGGTTTTGTATTTCAAAACAAGAATATCAAATACACAAGTTTTATAACATCATTAACTAATATAGCATTTTTCTTTTTGCTACTATGTTACTTTTACACTATATAATTTTATTGTACTTCATTTGCATTTGATGCAAATCAATATTTTTCAATCACGTTCTTTAAACAATGGCTTCACATGAGATTGAGTAGAACTCAAAAATAATATTCTTTAGAAATCTGAATAATTTTTTCTAATAATCGTTCATAAATAAATCTAGTTATATCAATTTTCGAAGATCATTCTTAAAAATAGTTCAGAAAGTTAATCCAAATACTTCCTTGATCAATTATATAACGTTTGAATACTGCCAACTTAAGTCTAGATCTTCTGAATATGTGCTACATCTAGATTATGATTGTTTAGAAAACAAGAGATTACTATACAATAAAACTATTATGAATTAAATAAGTTTATATTTATCGAATCTGAGAAAAAGAATAATATTATATTTATTTGTATCCTGTTTATATATATCAGCTTTTTTTAATTTTGTATCACATGCATTAAGATGATCTTATTAAAGTAATTGTTATAATAATGTACCTACTAAGAATATTTAAATTGATTCTATACTATTAAAATAAATATAAATCAAGCAAAAGCATTTCAGATATAGTCAAATTAAAATACTGAATACTTTTCTGATGTTGACTTATTCGATGGAAATTTAATAATTGCTAGTTGCCTAAAATAGTATGGAAGATTAATTGTACAAGAGAAAATGAAATGATCTATAATCATTAGTGACAAAAAAAGGTGTGTACAATTGATGGTACGAATTAAGATTTATTATTTCATTGTTTTGTCACTACCTTTTTTTTGATAAACATCAGGCATGAAATGTATGTATGTATAAATTTTGTTAAAGAATACATCTCATGTTTAAAATTCTCTTCACGAAAAATAGTCATTAAAATAATATTGAACTTTTTTCTTTTTTAAGTGACTTCTTCCTTTTCAATAGTTTTTCTTTTTATTTGTATATACATCTTTTCCATCAATCTTCACTTCAAACTTAACAAGTCACAAGTGTGCATATATATCATTTAAATTGAAGTAAAAAAAACTGTGCTAGTCATTCATGACCTTCTGTTTTTCAAGAAGCTATTAAAATCATGTAGTTTAAAAAGAAGAAGAAGTAGTAATCAATGCCTATAGATATGATCATGCTAGCTTCATTAATAGTTCTATTAAAAGACGAAATAGTGTGACCATCGGCAATGACTATATTGTTCTTAGCATGTCTCATCACGGCACGAGTCCGACTAGACAAGCGACAAGGACGCTTCGCGCTTCTATAAACATACACTAATTTCATTTCTCACTACCACATACAAGAATAAGAAGAAGAAAAAAAAGTGTGAACAATGTTCATGGACATTATACATCTCTTCTTTTTTTTTGTTTCCCTGTTGGGGCTTCCGCGATGTCATGACGGTCACTATCATCATGTTCATTATAGTAAGATAAAAATAAGTAGGAGTGTCGGTCGCCGTTCTTTTTGAAATATGAGAATGTAGAGAAAAAAAACGGAAATCTATTTCTAATTATCTTTCTCTTCATAATCAAAATGAAAGTTGACCGTTCCATTGATTAAATAAATGACAAGCCATCATATATATTTTGATTAACATAGGTATCAAACAGATTGAAATCACTATCAACACGTGTTAATAATGATAAGTTGTCTAATAAGCAGAAAGAAACAATTCACTTTTCCCTAACAGACTCTTTACAATTTGATTAGCAAAAAAATTTCATGCTGAGCTCTAAGAAATTCAAGAATTGATCACCAGTTGGTTCAATCATATTTACCCTTCTTAATATTTACAGTTCGTGATAAAAATATTCGCACGAAAGAATAACAACAAGATGATAGTCATTTATTCAATAGGATCACATTACTCAAATGCACTAGTTTAAAAAAAAAATATCTGTCTATATGAATTATTAAAAGTAGATCTATTTTCTTTTCCATTTAAAAAGTTATTATGATGCATAGAAATAAATTAATGTTATAAGAGCCTTGATAGCGCATGCGCAATGTTTGATTTATCGATTTGTCATCGTCGCTATCGTTAATGATGACGCCGGCACTTTACATTATTTTGTCCAATTCAGACAATTGAGTTGACACATACAGATGGTTAGTAGTCTTGAAAATCAAACACGAAAGTTTATGCTTGTCTCGTCTTACTAAATATAATTATATTTCAACGATAATAGACATAAACGAATGTGAGTGATAAATCAAAATAGGAAGTCGACTTTTTTTTTCTCGCTTGATTAAAGTATTCAAGTATATATGTTCATACACATTTTTTTTTCTTCTTCTCCTCCTTTTCTCCTATTGTAAATAGACATGCGATGTCCACCACTATTATATACATCGATACTAAAATCGTTGTCGTCGTCTGACTGACTAATGGATGGCAAATAAGAACGAGAAAATATGTCATGTATATATCATACTAGTGCCATTATGATTAAACTCATTGATATTCTTAGATAGCAAAAAAGAAAGACAATGAATTGTTAACTGTCTGTAACGAGTTAATTTGAAAAACTATGATAAAGAAATAAGATCTGACACAATCCTTGATTTATCTTTCTCATTTAATATTGTCTGTTGCAAACTGTCATTAGTGACAGCCTTTAATGGTTGAACTGATGATGATAATAGTTCGAGCACAATATTCATATTTATATGTCTCTTATTTCTTCATTATGTATAAAGTAATGTACATTGAAAATATACTATTTTACTTTTAATGTGTAATTAATTAATTTTCATTTCATTCTGAACAATTTTTGATATATTAATCACAGTTTCTCATGAGAATTTAATATGATATAAATGGAAGAACTCTGAAGAAGAAGAATTGTCATTCTCATCATCATCATCGACAAAAAAAATGTTATTTTAAATCGAAGTCTCTAGAGAAAATTGAACAGAATAGATAACTAGTTGAATGTAATCATTCAACATGACTATAACTTTTATCACAATTGTCAACTCATCCGGGTTTCATTATTCAAGCTTGATCACTCAACCAGACAATACGTTTGTCATTTTTACACAATAACTTCTACACATATATATATATATATGTATTTATAACATACACAGATGATTAGCTCATCGGTTAACATGTATATTCGAAATAATTTATCATCTAAATGATCTCTTATTGAACAATAGTACTAGTAATCTATTTGGTCAGCAAGATACTTACTTCCTTCCTTCTTCATATATCTTTTTCTTTCTCTCTGCCTTCCTTCTCTTCTGTCTCTCTCTTGTTTTCTTTTCTTTTTTTTCTCTCCTCTCTCTCTCTTATACTTCTTCGTTTCTTTCTTTACGTGCATTTGTTCTTTATTAAGTAGACATTCGTCGATTATTGGGTCTACATAACTTACTGTCAAGACAGGTATAAAAAATCTATTTCATTAAACTTTTCAATATAATGATACGTATTAATATATTATTCATCCTATCCTTTATTTCATTAACATATTCATCACGATTAAAATATCGTGCATCAGTTAAAGAAAATGTTGATTTATATTATACAATAACATCACTTGATCAAATGATTTCTGTTAATTATCATCAATCCATAGAATTTTTAAATATTAATTCACCATATACAACATATTTTCTTGTTGATGGACAAAAATTACGTACAAGTCGTTTAATTGATCGTGAAGAATTTTGTCGAATAAAATTATGTGAAAATTCACGATGTCATCCATGTGAAATTAATATGGATTTTGTTTTAAAAGAAAATGGTCAACCACGAGATATTATTTCATTAATCTTAACTATTGAAGATATTAATGAATTTCGACCACAATTTTTAGATGGTCTAGGAGATGGTCATAGAATTCAGTTAAATATTAGTGAAGGCGTGCCTGGTATGTATATGTTTCTTACACAATAGATGACCTTTTATGACATTCTACGAGCTAATTAGTGTTCAGTACCAGATATTTTGTGAGTCTCATTATCGGATGTTTTTTTCTCCTCTAGTTGGACATATATTGCCCATTCCAAGTGCAACAGATAAAGATGGTGAAGATGATGAACTTATCTATTGGCTTGATAAAACAACAAAAATTCCATTTGAACTTATTTCATTTGGTTCAAATCAAATTGGTATAAGGATATTTTGTTTTTCGCTATGTTTTACTTTCATTTTTTGTTTGATTTAGCTTTAAATGTAACTGAACCATTAGATCGTGAAACACAAGATTTTTATGAAGTTAAATTAACAGCTAGTGATCAAGGAAATCTAACTACAACTATTACTATTCATATATCAATTAGTGATGTCAATGATAATGTTCCTATATTTGATCAACAAAATCCATATATATTAAATATATCTGAAAATATTCTTCCATCTCTAATTAAACCACTTCTTCGTATACATGCAACTGATCATGATGCAAATGAGAATGGTCGTGTTGTCTATAATTTTAGTCCACAAGTATCCGAATTAATTCGTCAAACATTTCAATTAAATTCTTATACAGGAGAATTATTTCTTATACAATCACTTGATTATGAACAATATAAAGATTATCGTATTCCAATAACAGCACAAGATTCCGGGCCTGTATCTGTTCCTGTTTATACAGCTATTATTATAAATATTGAAGATGAAAATGATAATAAACCAATAATCAATATTCGTACATCAGATTATTTTCAATTTCACAACGATACATTATATATCAGTGAAGAAACACCGATAAATACATTATTAATGCATATATTAGTACAAGATTTTGATTCGAATTTAAATGGTAAAGTTCAATGTTGGATTGAAACATCGAATTCATTAAAATTTAATATTACAAATACAATCAATAATATGTTTTCAATCTATACAACACATTTATTTGATCGTGAAAAACAATCGAACTATTCATTTCGTTTAATAGTTGAAGATTTTGGTATAAAATTACGTCAACAAACAATTCGTGATCTTCATTTAATTATAACTGATATTAATGATTCTCCACCAATATTTACTCAATCATTCTATAAAATATCTCTTCAAGCAGATGAAGAATATTATCATCATCAACAACCAATAATTAAATTTCAAGCACATGATGCAGATTTAAATGAAAATAGTCAAATATCCTATAAATTAATTTCTAATCAATATAAACATTTATTTTCTTTGAATGAACAAACAGGTGAATTATTTTTACTTGCCAAACTTAATGAATTAAATTATAATTTAACAATTCGTGCACATGATCATGGAAAATATCCATCAGAATTATATACGGATGTTCAATGTTATATAAAAATTTATTATAAACCAATATTTGAAAAAAAGAAATATTTATTTGATAAAATAAATGAAACAATGCCAATCAATACATCAATTGGATTTGTTAAAGCTCATACATATGATAAAAGTTTAATTTTTTATTCAATATCAACAAAAATGTTTAGAATTAATTCATTAACAGGTGAAATATTTGTTAATGAAAATCTTGATTATGATACAAATAATGATTCATGTGAAAATTTCTTTGTCATTGCTTATAATGAAGATCAATTAAATTCAACTTGTCCTATTGAAATATGTCTACAACCAATAAATGAATATTCACCAGAAATTGATATTGAATCTCGTTTAATTTATATTAATATCGATAATACAAGTTCTATACATATCAATGCATTTGATCGTGATCGTTCACCATCAAATTTTCTTTCGTTTCAATTTCAAAAACCTTCAAAATGTAATTTAACATGTTTATCAAATGGAACTATATATATCAATGAAAAACATTTTTGTCTCGGTATTATTGATCTACCATTATCTCTTAATGATAATGATAAATATCCATCATTTAAAATAACAAATCTTACAATACGTTTAATATTCTATTCAAATACAGTATCACTTCAACAAATACTTTCATCATCATCATTAAATTATAAATTAGCAATTGAAATAATTATTATTTCAAATATATTTATATTTATTTCAATTATTATTTGTTTAGTTCTATGTATTGCATATAGACAACGTAGACAAACATCATTAAATAAATCAACACAATTTAAAATTATTAAAGATCAAATCGGCTTTACAGAAGTAAGCTTCACTTACATGACAATGATATTTAAATATATATATATATAATTTTCTTTTTCTTAGAATCACAGTTTACTCAATGAAGGTCTTGTCGATATGACAAATATAAATTTAAAAGTAAATACAAATAGTGATACAAGTTCATCATATAATGATTCATGTTATGGTTCATCTGAAATGGATGTACATCATCATCAATTAGGAGGAGGAGGAAATAAATCAACTGGTAAAATTCTTCTATCATCAACGGATAAATATATTATTCTATGTAAAGATCAAAATAATATAAATCATGATGAAACAAACTCATCATCATCTACATCATCATCATCACCAACTGGTAATAATATTAATCTTATAACAAAATATCAATTAAATAAACGTGTCGAAACAACACAATTAAAATCAGTGAATCAAAATTTAGAATTTTTTCAAAATGATAATGAATATAAAAAAATACTTACGACAACAACAACATTCAATTATCGAAATATGACACCACTTAATGAATATTATCTTTAATAACACTTTTATTACTTGCCGGTGATGATGATGATGATCTAACTGCTTTAAAGTATCAATTCTTTTTTTTTTCGTATTTCATTTTAACAATTAAAGTCAGATATTCTCTTTGTATCTTGTATATGTGTGTGTGTTTTTTTTTGTACTATTGATTGAAATGATAAAAAAAAAGAAGAAGACATAAGAATGCGAATTGTTACGTCATAAGATGGAATGTGCGTGCATGTGTGTTTCTTTAGTTAAATCAATATGTATGCATATATATGTATATTCCCTTAGGAAAAAGATAGATGAACACGAGATTATACAAAGTCTATTAAATGACCATCAACAACTCTTTTCCTTTTTTTCTCATTCTCATAATACAAGGTCATTACTAGCACGCACGTTTAAATGTATATCTAATCTCTATAGACTATAGTTAACTTTGGTTTTTATTTCATCCTATCTATTTTAATTTATTTTTTTGCTATGATATACATATAAAAGAATAACATAGACAGTAAATTATACAAGTATTTATCTTTGAATAAAGTAATCATTTACGATATATATATAATTTCAGACATACCTATTGTTTAACGTGTTAAATTAACAATACTTCAAGCTACTATTGTAACCAATAATTATACATATGTGAATAACAGACAAAATATACTTGTCTGAATGAAAAGAAAAGAAAAAAAGAGTATAATTCAAATGGTATCATCCACTTGATAGCTATTATACTCTTGTTAACAACGAATAAATGATTACGAATGTCCATTCATATGTAATCTTTCATCTTAATCAATTACTCGTATGAGATGACTTCTTATGATGATCATCTAATCATATAGATTCTTGTTCAGATGAACGGATGTGGTCAATGTACTTGAAAATACGATTCTCTCGTCAATGTAATAGACTTACGCAATCTGAAAAAAAAGTGTCGTTCGTCCTTTATATGTCTCCTAATATATTTGATTAGTTACAAAAGTGAATGGCCAACAAAGTCCAAGTTTAATCATAACTACTAAAAAAAGAAGAGAATTGATTCATCATGTCATATATATATGTGAAGACTTCTTTTAACTTACATTACTTGTCGATTTATATTCAGAAGGTTTCATATTTGTTGACATTAATCTACTATTTAGTATCACATCTTATACTACTATATGGTTTCTTTTAGTTTGTACGGCTGTGAATTCTTTATATAACAAAAGTAATTGTACTTATTCGATGTTAAAAACTTTTTTCTTTATGAGTACATTCGATGCTATTTGTATAATATTACTAATTATATACGATATCCAACAGTGCATATGCATAACAAAAACATACAATGCACCAGTTGTTCGAATTATAAGAGATGCCGATCAATGATAATGATACAGTAGACAAGACTATAGTCTGTGAACTTTTATATCATGTTTTCTTGATACATCGATCGTTCTCCTCTGTTGGAAAATAAATGATAACATCAATTGATGCGTTGCAATTAGCTGTGATCATCGTCATCAGACACATCTGCTGAATCATCTAATAACAATACAAGAAATGCACATGTTTTAAAAACTACAAAAGATCAGTGTGAAAAATATATTGCATATCGCCAATAGACAGCGTCATCTGCCAGAAGTTAGTGACATCGATCAGAAATACTTTTATAAATGAATCATCAGTATTTTTATATAAACTACAACGAGATATATATTTTTAAAAAAATAATGAGTATCTTAGCTCGTAGTCTTTATACTTGTCGATTCTTTGAAATTGTAAATCGTGTATGTTTAATACAATCAAGTAAAATATTTTTATTATTTGACATTTTCCTCAAATTAATATTTTTTAGTATCTTGCCTTTCGGATTCAGCAAATCCTATAAATAAATCATTACATGCATGTGATTTTGAAGTATTTGGAACTGTTCAAGGTGTTTATTTTCGTCAACATACTTATGAACAAGCTAAACGATTAGATCTTGTTGGATGGGTAAAAAATACTGAAAAAAATACGGTACAAGGACATATGGAAGGTCATAAAATTAATATAGATCAAATGAAAAATTGGCTTCAAACAACAGGAAGTCCAAAATCGAAAATAATAAAAACTGAATTTACAAATGAAAAATTGATTAAAAAATTAACTGAAAACACATTTAACATTAAAAGATAAAACTAACATGTATACTTATAGAAAATAGTATTTTTCAGATCTCATGGTTTTCATAACTTATATTCGTCATGCACTTCAACAACGTTCACGATTGTTTCTTCCAACACCTGTTCATCTTCCTCAAGGAAGTAGATCAAGAAGTCAAACAGTAATTAAATATAAATTCATACGATTTAATTTCATTGTATATTTCAGTTATTACAAGAAGCATCTATTGTTCATAGTGTTGAACATGGATTTCCACAATTATTACCATTAGGTTTTCGAGTTTTAACTAAATTAAAAACGTTAATTCAGTATGAAATGAATCATGTTGGTGGACAAGAATTGTATCTGTCAGCAGTTGGACGAAAAAATACTTGGGAAATGTGTGGTATGAACATTGATGATATTAAGATGTTTTTGGTAATTTTGTAAAATTCTTATAGATCGATGGAATTTAATGCATAATGAATTATTTAAATTTAAAGATCATGATGAAGAATATTGTCTAAGTCCAGTAAATAAACATTTATTAAAGAAACAAAATTTTTATTAAATTTTATAGACACATGAAGAAGCAATTACAAAACTTGTTTCTTCTGTTTGTAAATCACTTCCACGAAGTAATTATCCATTACTTGTTTATCAGGTAAAATAATAATAAATATTTTTTTTTAATAAATAGAAAATTATTATATATTATTAGCAAATCTAGATAACATGGAAATATCGTAATGAACCAAATTATCGTCATGGTCTTTTACGAACAAAAGAATTTCTTATGAAAGGTTTGAAATTCTTTTTTTTATTTTATTCTCTATAAATCTGTGTATTATTTAGATTTATATAGTTTTCATAGAGATGAAGATTGTGCACATCAAATTTATGAACAAGTTTGTGATGCATATGAAAGAATATTTCAAAAATTAGAATTAAATTGTTTTAAAGGTTTCTATTATATTATTAATGATTAAATAGAGTTTCATATGATAATTTTTATTTAGTACCAGCCGATAGTGGTTTAATGGGTGGATCATTGAATCATGAATTTCTAGCAGTATCACCTGTTGGTGAAGATACAATTCTTATTTGTTCAAAGTATGTTAAATTATGATTAACATAAGAAAGATAAATATGTTTAATCTATAGATGTAATCGTGGATATTTAAATAATAAAACTCAATGTGAACATGAAGACAAAATTGAACAACGAGCTATTGAACTTGGTCATTGTTTTCTTCTTGGTGATCGTTATACAAAAGCATTCAATGCAATCGAAGGTTCATCAGATACTGCAGTTGATAAAAAGTAAGAAATAAAATTTTATAATCTATTTCTAATTTTTGTTTATTAATAGACCATTGATAATGGGATGTTATGGTATTGGTTTAACACGTTTAATGGCAGCATCCGTTGAAATACTTACATCAAAAGATTCAAATAATATTCGATGGCCAAAACGAATTGTTCCTTATCAAGTCGCGATTTTACCACCAAAAGTTTGCTATTATTTAATTATATTTAAAAATATCATTGACGAAGCTTTTACTATTTTAGAAAGGTAGTCCAGAAGAAACAGTTGGTAATGAAAAAACACTTGGTCGTTTGTTAAAACTTGATAGCAATGAATGGTTTGTCGATGATCGTACTGAATTCACTATTGGTTATCGATTAAAAGATTGTGAAAAAATGGGTATTCCTATTGTAATAGCATTTGGAAAACGAGCTGTAAGATTTATTTTTTTTATAAAGACTGATGTAATTGTATATTTATTTAGACTCAACAAAATCTATGTGAAGTTATTGATGTATACAATAATCGAACAGAATATTTATCATATGAACAGACATTAAAATTTATTCAAAACTATTATTCACTTTTTTGTTAAACTTTATTATTTTTTTTTAAATAGAACAAAAAATCGTTAAGATTGCAGGTTCTCATGAACGAAGCATAGTTTTAATTAAAAAAAAAAGAATTTCTGTAGCTTTTACAAAACCTCAATCTATCTAATAGAAAACAAAAAATATTGTTTAATCTTTCTGGCAACATGTAAATTAATCGCGTCATAAAAAATTTCATTACGAATTTTATATAACAGAGACATAAATACCAGAAAAGATTTTTTTAATCAAAAAATGATGTATGTATGTTTGATTATTTGGTCAAGAGAAAAGTATCAAACCCATGGATCCGGCAGCAATATAAAGTTTTTTTTGATTAGCTGCACTAATCACTGTTTAAGTATATTTATTTTTACTAGTCGTTGAAAATAAATTTAAATCAATTTGAAAAAATTAATTTGTGTTCCAGTCACACGACGAATTTGTATTCAATATGTTAGCTTGAAATATGAAAATATATTATACCAACAATTATGACTATAGATAACATCTAAAGCAAATGGAAATAATATATTTTATAAAAAGATCTCACAAATATATTTACAGATGGAGAATAGATTCCCTGGAAATGGACGAGGAGTGTTTTGATCACCAGAAAGGAGTGAAATGATTACCTAATTAGTTGTATGTGAAATGATCATCGAAAAAGGATGGGTGTGGATAGGTGACGGTGTGACTTTAGGTGTGGGTGTAGGTGGGGGAGTCGTTTTATCTTTTATTCACTCACACACAAACCCACACCCACGCCCTTCATAATTATAGAGATAATCTATTAGTTAAGAAATAAAAATGAGATATGAGTATGAAATAGAATAATATGACATTAGTAAGTAAAAATAAAAAGCACAGTCAGTTGAAAAAATAAAAAGTGTTTGTACTGTTCAGTTAAAATTTGATTTCAGATGAGAGATATATCTGTCGTTATGTTTTTGCAGAATACAACTCGCCAATATTCTGCTCGTCCTTGTTGCATATTATCATATAGTTGAGTACCAGGTAATCCAGCGAATAGACGACAATATTCGTGATCTATAGGTTGAATATAACGCTCAATAAAGTCAACACGTGAGTTATTTTGAATATCAAGTGCATGAAGAACATTTCTTGTAATATTGACCTTCTCTTTAATTATAAATGCATCATTTGTTGTTAAATAATCAATCAATACGTGTGAACCATCGACATTACACAAGCCACACCAGAGAAAGTATCCATTAGGAGTAAGTATACGAACAACTTCATCGACAAATTGCTTTGCTGCTACTATTTCATCAAAAATGTTTGTTGTTTCAATCGAAAGAACAACATCCATTGACTCATTTTGAAATGGTAAATGAGTTTTTGAATCAGCTATCATAAATGAGAGTCGAGGAATTGTTGTATAACATTGTTCACATAGGTTAATGACATTTCGAGAAAAATCTATTCCAACATAAGAACGAGGAATATATGTACGAACACACCACGCAGCACCAGCACCTCTACCACAACCCACTTCGAGTATATTTTGATCTGTAAGTGTTACATTAGCAAGAAGCTAGAACGAAAAACAGAATATTCTAATAATACTTGCGAAGACTTTTGAAGAAAAGGTTTAAATCGTATTGTTGATATTGTGACAGCTAATATTGTGATTAGTTCATTTTGAGCTATTCGTGTTACCGAGTTATGAATGAAAACTTCGAGCATATTACAAGGATTCTTTGGTTTCGATCAATTCATTATCTATCACTTGTCGAATACTTATAATAAAGTAACGAAAACTATGGTATGAGTATGATTCGTATTAATTAATTTAGACATCAAAAATTAATCTATGATATTATATCAGAAATATTTCAACTCAAATCTATTTGATTCTTTCATTCGTCTTCACTTACTTGCTGATAAAGTTTCTTCGAATAGTAGCCAGTATTGTCATCAGTATGTTCGTCCAAATCTGCATAACCCCAATTCGTAAATTGTAGTTCATTGACATTCGTATAGACATTCGAAATTTGCTCATACCACAAAGACAGTCGATCAAAGTTCTTAGATTTCTGTTGACATTTGACGATATCATCACAAACGGGTGCAGATCCAGATAATTCTGGTTTTGCTACATAAGATTCTAAAAGAAAGAAATTCAATGCAATAAAATGATGCATATATGTACCATATGACATGATCATCAGAAGAATAGTTTAACTTTGAATGATATTACTTTCAAAAAATCAAAGAAAAAGATGTAGAGAAAAGAAAATATCCGTTCTCAATTGATTTCACGTTGCAAAGAAATCGGACAAAATTTTATTCATTGATATGAAATGTCAAGGTATAACCAATTTATCCTATACGATGAGGTTTGAGTAAATAATTTAGAGTAAAATCTAATAGAATGATACATTTAAATTTTATGTGGATTAACAACAAACCATAAAAGATGACAAAAGTATATTGAATGCATTTAGATCATGATCAATTGAAAATTTAATGAGAAGAAAAGCTATTTTTAATGACATGTCATATTGATCGAATGATTTTTTCATTCTGAGACGCAGGAAAAAGTCATAGGAAAGTCAAGTAAGTATATATCAATACAAGATATTTAGAAAACATCATGAATGAAAAGTCATGCTTTCAATAATGCAGATAAAGAAATATCCAAAAATGGCTATGAAAAAAATGAAATTTGCAGAATATTACTTAACATCTTAATAGTATTATACAAGTGTGTCTAATTTTATCTATTTAGATAACTTACGTGCAGGAAGTCCTTTCCATTGTGTGTTTGATTCCAATAAATCATTTTTCATTACGAGTGTAAAAGGATAAAGTCGATTGTTACCCATTAATTTACAGCCCGACATTACAATTGAGCCACTCATAAGAACGCACGAGTTACCTACTGTAACAGGAGCTAGTTTTAGAGTACGCTGTTCGAAACTGTGACACTAAAATGATTGTAGAGAACAGTAATGTTTAAATGAAAAACAACAAGAAATGAATATATTACCATAATAAGAGCATTCATATTAAGTCGAACATTATCTCCAATAGTCACCAAATTATAATCAGGGAGAGACAAAATATCAGGTACGATGACATTGTTGCCGATGTTCGCACCATATGCTCGAAATAACCGAATCAACCATTGTGTATTGCCAAGGAATGAACAAATAAAAATTCGATGATCTTCTTGTAGTTTTTCTTTTATCTGTTGGATTGTTTCACTGTCTTCATAAAAATGCCATTGATACAGACTGTAACTAATTATTGTATGAAGGATTGGTCCACCAACAAGACCACATGACCAATAGATGCCTATGAGAAGACATTTGCTAATATAATGTGAAAAACATGTCTTCCAAAATGGAATAGTTTTAATTTGATCTTCTATTGCTTCTCTAATGGGCATTTGAAATGGCATAGCACGAGCTGGAACACCAATGAAAATATCTCCATTGTTGCTATTCGTTTCTCGAGTGATACGCGTTAAACTGCCAACCATAGTATGAGATGCAAGATGACTTCCCGGCAAAATTGAACATCCGTTTGCAAGGTTTGTATGAGATCCTAGCGTTATCCAATCTACACGATGGTCACCCTCAAGTGTCATCTCAGTAGGAACTAATAAAACGTAACCAAAACTAGTGACTTCTCTTTCGAGTTTTAATAAATTTGTTGGATAGGATAAGAAGATGTCTATATTAGCGAGTTTGACATCATCTTCAACTTGAGCACCTAGCCAACGGAGAATAAAAGGATAAAGATAATGATATTTACTTGGTAGTAACCATCCATGATGAAAACTAAAAACAATTAATTGACGAAGCCACACCTTATGTAAATATGACCATGATGCAATTGGGTATGTGTCACCAGCAGCACAAGAACCAACTACGAATTTTAACAGAAAGAGAGTGAGAAAACAGGCAATAATTGACCATGAAGTCCAGCAAAAAGCAATACTAATAGATAGTGGTATCTGTTCAACTGCATAAACTTTGTAGACAATGGCTAAAAGTGTACAATGAATACAGATTACTGAGATGATTGTAATGACTTGATAGATCTTGTGCCATATTGATAATGATCGGTTATTATATGTGATTGAAATGTTTGATGGAACCGTTTTATGTTCGTCGCCATCAATAATCGTTCGAGATGCGATGAAACCAGTGAGTGATGAATTAGGCTGAACAATAATATTATCTTGCATATTAACTCCACCAAACAGAATCGAACGGACACTAATTGAACAATAGCAACCAATTTTAATTGAGTGTAGTGCAAAAGTGTTATTATCATTGTAATATAAAGAGTTTAGAGTCGTTTTATCAGCAATCCAAGTTCCCTCACTAATATATAATAACCATGGAGCATCAATAGTAACGGTATAAATATGTGCAGTAAGACTAACTCGAGCACCACAAAGACGAAGATAGTAATTGTACAAAGGTGTACCAAGTATATGTTGTAGCCAAAATGTATTATTATTCCATAGTCGATCTAAAAACCACCAACGATAATAGTTCCAAGAGAACACATTGCCTTCTTTGATATTTCGCGATGATAGTAGATGTGAGCAAATGACATAGAATAGAAGATGACATATTGGTAAGATAGGAAGAAAAAGAGGACACCATTGACAAATTATCATGATTGGACACAACCACTGACAAACAAGAAGTACTATACCTAAAGATTCGATGACTAATGAAGGTGCGAGACGATCATGTGTTTCATGAATTTTATTGACTGTAGAAGCTGCCTCTTGTCGTTCTTCGAGAACCAGTAAAGGTTCTATAGCTTGAGCCAATCGTCGAATAGATGGATTATTAAGCAAAAGACCAATGTCAACTTTATTACAAATCTTCCGACGAATCAGTGTCAGTGCAAGAATAGCACCCAGTGACGTTCCACCAAGTTGACCGAAAGCAACTTCAACATGAGGAGATTCAATATGGAAAGCTTGACTAAATATATCTTGTAACTGTTCTTCTAAAGCAGTGTGCGAAAGATTGTCATCACGAGCATAAGTTGACGATGAAAAATCAGGAGGCGGTAGAAGTTTTCGATCAATTTTTCCATTTGGATTCAAAGGTAATTTATCAAGTATAATAAATATGGATGGAATCATATGTGGTGGAAGATGAGATTGACAATGTTCACGTAGTTCTTCTTCATTCATATGAGAAGAAGATTGAACATAAGCGGCTAAATAATCATCGTTCCATTTCATGACAACACAAGCAGAGATGGATGCAATGTTAAGTAAACATCGTTCGATTTCACCAAGTTCAATTCGTTGTCCATGAAGTTTGATTTGATGATCTTTTCTTCCTTGATAATAAAGAAGTCCATTGTTATCCATTGTAACAAGATCACCTGTTTGATAAAATAATTCACCATCTATTTCAACAAGAGCTTTTGCTGTCAAATCATCACGTCGAAGATAACCAGCAAATACACCCACTCCTCCTATACACAGTTCACCTTCTTGACCGACGGCAGATAATTGTAAATGTTGATTCATAATCATACATCGACAATTCGAAAGTGGTGTACCAATTGAGATATTACGTACATCAGTTATAACATGTACTTTATGAGAGGTAGAAACTATAGTTGTTTCGGCTGGACCGTATAAGTTCCATAACCTACAGGAATGTGGGACTGAACTTAGAATTAAGTTTACGAGATTGATAGAACATTTTTCACCTGTAAAAATATATAAAAGCTTGACACAAAATTACATATCAGGAAAAGGTTACATACCACCGCTGCAAAGGGATCGTAGACTTTTTACAGCTGTGAGCTGGTTAGATTTCTGCAAAAAACTAAACAAATGTTGAAGAATAGTTGGCACCATTGTGAAGCATGTTACGTTCTTTGTCTTGACAATATAAATCAGATAGTCTAAGTCGATCGTTCCTCTAAGATGTGGCATTACTAATGAAGCTCCAGCTATCAACGTACCAATAATATCTTGAATATGAAGATCAAAGGAGCAACGCGCGATTTGCATTATTATATCGTTTTTATTCAATACATAACCGCGCACTAACGAACGCATCAACTGAATGAAACTTTGATGCCAAACTTGAGCCTTAACGGAACGAGATTATTTACATGACATTAAGAAAATATACTATTTCAAACTAACCGCTTTCGGTGTTCCTGTTGAGCCACTTGTGAAGATGATGTAGGCTATAGTGTCCGGAGCTACTAACACATTTGACAACTCATCGACATGAATTATATAGTCCGCCTTTGTGTCAGTTAGAACTAAATCAATATCAAATAACACAATATTATGCGAAAAATTGGTCTTAGTTAAATGATGAACAACGACAAGACGACCTGAAGTCTCTTGTATGAGAGTATGTAAACGGTGTTGTGGATCTCGAGGTGATAATGGACAATAAACACCACCAGCCATTTCAATCCCCATAATACCAATCACCTAATCGAAGTCAATCTCAAACTCTCACCAATAATTAGTTCTCCTAATCAACTTACCATTGACAAACTTCGCTCAACACATTGACATACGACCTCACCTGGAAACACATGATATTCATTAAGAAGAGTGAAAGATAAAACTTGTACATAATACAAGAGTTCAGAATATGTTAATGATTGTTCATCAAGTTCAACAGCTAGCTTTTGTGGATGTTTCATTACTTGATAAGCAAATTCATGATGAATACAAGTGCGAGGAGATGAAAACGATACTTGTGTGTTATTCAATGATTGCATTAGATATTGTTCATTTGATAATGTTAATGATACTTCATAGGCAGGTTTGTTTATTCGACTATCAATCATAGATGCAGATAATTGATTTAAGATGAAATGAAATCGTTGTGAAATCTTCTCCACTGTGTCTCTATTGAATAAGTCAAGTGATGCATTGATCGTGCATGATAGTTGATTCATATTCATATCATGATAAATAGAAAGAGAGAAATCGGCTGTACTTAACATCTCATCTTCGTTAATCTTGACTGGAAAAGGTCCTGGAACAAGTTGAGTATCACCAATCATTATTGCATTGTTGTCATTGTTACTCTCAGATGATATAAATTCTACAGATGTATCCAGAAATGCATGTTTGAAAATATGTGGATGTCGATCAAGAATACGTTGAAGTGGAAAATATGAATATTTTGTACCATTTGTTGTTATCTCTTGAAAATGTTCAAGCAATTGATGAAAACACCATTGAGGATCTAATTGACATCGTAATGGAATGACATTCTCAAACAGCCCAATGATTGATTTGAGTTCATCTCTATATCGATTATTATTGATGTTCATAGCAAGACATAAATCTGTTTGTCCATTACTTAATTTGAATAGAAAGATGAAATAAATAGCAAATGTGAGATGTTGAAGTGATATATTATTTGATGATGCATGAGTAAGAAAGTCATGTGAGAGATCTTGACCAAAATGAAAAGAAATCGATGTTCCACGACCAGTTCGATGTTCATTTGAGAGCCGGTATCGATCATATGGTAATGATAAAGGTTGATCGAGTTTACAACCATGAAGAGCATCAAGCCAAAACATACTTGCACCAGTCATTGTCATTTGTTGTTCGATAACAGCATCTAGATAATCAAAGAAAAGAATGCATTATAAAATTAGAAGTGCTATTTATATTTACAATCGAGATAACGTAGATTAGTGTTGCCATCATATAATAATTGACCTGTTGTATATGCTTGATTGAGTTCATGAAGAAATATATTCATTGATGGATAATCAAGTACAGCATGATGAAAATTAAAGATGATTACATCTTTATCAGAAAGAAGATGATCTGAAGAGATTGATTTGTAGTAAACAAGATGACATCGAAAGCCGAGACCTTTAGTAAGATCGAAAAATTGCGAATTATGTCTTTCTTCATGCAGGATATAATTAAGTTGTTCATGTGTTGTATAAGTGCTTTCAATAAATGTAAATAATGTAGTATTATTCTGGCTAAAGTCGATGATCTGTTGCATGAGTTGATTGTTTTCTGTATGAAATATGAGCGATGTTCGAAGAGATTCGTGTTTTGTAACGATTAGTTGAAGAGCATGACGAAGATGTTTTACTGATAAAGCATGATGATGGTGTAGATGATAAACAAACGGCATATTGTAGATTGGTGCTCGTGATATGTAAGAAGTCAAATGAATAGACTCATTATGCCATAGTCGAATTTGCGCAAATGATGCTGGTGCTATATGAAAGAGAAAACAATCAGATATGATTAACGATATCGCCTATGAGATGTTGTCTTGTGTGAGTTTTCATCACTATCGAATTACTCTATGAATGGAACTTTTAAGCGGCAAAACCAATGTTATTGTGTGCGAAAGGCATGTGTGCTATTATACGAGGGTTAAACAAAAGTTCTATCGGTTACATGAATGATTATTTTAAAAGGAAAAATGACGCTTGAGTTAAAAATGCTAGTTTTCAAAGTGAAAAGGACAGAAAACCTAGGAAATTTTACACCATTTCATAGTCATCTATGGAAAAGCCATCTGGAATAGTGGATTCATGTTGGTATATATCAGAAGAATCTTGTTGATAGATGTGTGTGTATATGAATAAAGAATCCACATCCATATCCATGCATAGTCACACATCCACCCTTTGGCTGAGTGCTAATTATTGGATGTCCCAAATGATATAGGAACATATCCTCGATGATATCTCTGTGCAATGTATTCATTGTCGATAGAAATGTTCATTAAGAAAAACTTTATGTTTAGTTAAACATACCTTCGTTTATAATATGTGGTTGTCGACAAAAGATAATATCT